AGATGCTCATCCATTTTGATGCTAAACTTAAGAACTGAAGGCTTTGTGAGCAGAATCTTCCCCTTGAAAAGTCAAGAACTGACTTCCCCTGTTTTTCCCAGTCTCTGATGACATTTGTTTAAAAAGAAAAAAAGTTTGTTTATGTTTGGGCATGTAAGGAGGAAAAGAACTTTGTTGCAGGAACAGGATTATAAGGTAAAGACTCCCAGCTCCCATTTGCCCCCTCAAATGTTTTTAAGTGTCACCTTATGGCTTATTAAAGCTTCAAAGTCATTTGCATGTCTCTGGAACAAGCTGACAAGGAAATGATGAGAGTTTAAAATAATTCAGTATTTTTTTAGAGCCATCATTTAAAATTCCTGTACCCTGGGCACCTTTCTTTTGGGGGGAGTAGAATGCAGCAGACAGTCTACCCTGGCTAAAGTCATTTGGGGATAAGACTGGTCATCTTAAAGATCAAGTTTCCTTAACCTTGCATGGAATGCTTTGGTAGGCAGATGAAACTGTGGATTCTTGCTCAGAAATTTTTTTTTTAAATAATAGAAGGAAATGCTAAATTTCAGTTGAAGATAAATGAAAATAAAGATATATTTTTTCTCTTCCAAGTTGAGATGCTGTGAAATATATTTGTAGATTCTCAGATCAAGAATCCTTGCTTCAGAGAGTCCTTTCATGGCCACTAAGTATTGATTTTTTCTCCTGACCCTTCCCCAACTTCTGGGAAAAGAGAGGAGCCAGAAATCGTGTGAGGTAGAGGTTTCCTAGTATAGTGAGCTGGTCAGGGGAGGCCACTATAGTTAGTGGATCCTGATATGGCAGCTTGGATCTGATCTGGGTGATCAAAAGGGTCAGTTTTTTGCTGAGTGTATGCCAACTAGGTGGTGCAATGGATAGAGTGCCAGCTCTGGAGTCAGAAGGATCTGAGTTCAAATCCAGCACAAAACACTACCTAGCTGTGTGATCATGGGCAAGTCACTTCACCTGTTTGCCTCAGCTCCTCATCTGTAAAATGAGTTGGAGAAGGAAATGGCAACCCATTCCAGTATTTTTGCCAAGAAAACCCCAAATGGGGTCACAGAGTCAGATACAATTGAAACAACTCAATGACAACAATATGCCAGTAGATGATTCTTATGAGTTACACATAGGTATTTTAGTACCATGTTGGAGCTTTAGGCCACATTGACAGTCACACTGTCCTCATTATAACTCCATTCATTCTTACCTATGTAATGAGTATTGGAGAAGGGGGAGATTTGAGGTTAATGCATTTCCTGCTGTCCAGCAGTAGGGTATAGAAAAATGTCTTAACAATCAACTGATAGTTCTTTTTCTGTACTTCTGGGTATGGCTGTGTGTATCCACAAAAAAGTTAAAAATGTGTTGCTTAAGCAGCTCCATCCCAAGTGTGTTGGTTGAGTAGAAGCACTTCCTTTGAGGAAGAAGCCTAGTAGTATGTATGAGGTCCAGCAAAAGGCAGCAACTTCTTGGCAGAGAAGCCCCAGAATTGACAATGTTAGCAGATGGCACTAGCAGCTCCAGAGGAATGCTGGCAAGTTTGAATACAGGAGCAGGGAGGCAAATCAGTTGCTTGGAGATGCATCCCTAACTGTGAGGGTTGACCATGTAGTCAGTCAATCAACAAATATTTATTAAGCACTCACTATGTCTGTTATTGTGTAAGCACTGGAGTTGCAAAGAAAGACAAAAACATAGTACTTGTCATCAAGCAGTTCGTATTTTAAAGGGGAAAATGATAAAATAATGATGTGTATGTATGTATGTACCCGTGTATATGTATGTATATACATATATATGCATATGTGTACAGACAGTTCTTGCTTTAAATTCATAGCATGTAAATTTGACTTTACATAAAGAATTTGGAAAGAAATTAGCCTTTTAAAAAACATCTATGTTAATTTTACCATATGGTACTGTGCTCTTTTTCTTCCTGCCCCTTGGTTCCACAATCTGTGGCTTCTTACCTCTGCGAAGAAGAAGAAGAAGAAGAAGAAGAAGAAGAAGAAGAAGAAGAAGAAGAAGAAGAAGAAGAAGAAGAAGAAGAAGAAGAAGAAGAAGAAGAAGAGAAGAAGAAAAGAAAAAAATATCCCTTCAAATGAAAGCAGAAGAATGGCTGTGGGGAGACTTACCACTGTGGAGGTCACTGGACAGGGACTTGGCTTGACACCTCTGGTGCTGAGAGAGGAGAACTTTGCCCTGCTCTACCCACCCACCCTTGTGTCTGGCCCACATAACTGTCTTCTGTCCCTCTGTACCATGTGTTTGGCCCCAGCCCCTGAGTGTCAGTCATCCTCTCCTGTCTATGTCCATGTCTGGCCTCCACATGTCTGTCCCCTACATGTTCTTCCCCTTGCTTTCAGCCAATCCTCTATGTAGTAGCCCCAGCACAACATGATCCAACTTCCTGCTCTCATTTCTCTGTCCCAAGCCCCGACATGTTCTTGAGCTGTGTGCCAGTTTGCTCCCTCCACAAGCAAATGGCGCCCTTTATCCTTCCCTCCCTCGTCCACATTGGTGGTCAAATTCACATTCCATAAAAACTGCTTTACATAGAGGTCTGTGGAATGATCCACTCTCATAAACTGAAAACTGTTTCTCTGTGTATATGTACCATATGTATACATGGTATGTATATGTTATATATGTATGTACACACATGTGTATGGGTATGTAGGTATATAAAGCTATGTGTGTATATGTGTGCATACACACATAGACACATATATATGCTTTATATACTGTCTGAATAGAAAGTAATCTCACAGCAGTCAAACTCACAAGAAAGAGTTTAGGGTGAGTCAAGATGATGAAGCAGAGGCAGGAACTCACCTGAACTCTTCCAAAATTTCCTTCCAAGCAACTTTAAAATAATGAGTTCTAGAGCCAACAAAAGCTTGAAGTAAAATGATTTTCCAGCCCAAGACAATTTAAGAGGTCATTGGGAAAAGTTTGTAGCACTGGGGTGGTGGTTGGGGCCAGAGTACAGCTCAGGCCTTGCTGTGGCAATGTCAGCAGCAGGCCTTAGAGGTACAACAACAACAGAAGCTTCAGGAGCTCTCAGCTTACAGAAAATGAGGGGCTTAGAAAGAGATTACAGGAAACCTTTGCTGGCACTGGGTTCAGGACCCTGGTGTATTGCCCATAAGCAGTTCCACTTTTCAGTCTAAGGGCAAAAAGAAGCATTAGTGCTTGTGACCACAGGGGAGAAGAGGCCCTGGTCACAGTTCCAGGGCCAAAAGGAGTAATAGCACTTGTGGCTACAGGGGAGCAAGGTTCCATCTTGGATAAAAACCAGAGGGCACAGGCCGGGAGAACAGTGCCCACACCTTTCCTTAGACTGTACCACATCAGAAGCATTGAAAACTTATAGACCCCCAGGGGTAGCTCTCAAAATAGCATCATGGAAAACCTGAAGCTTAGGACAGTACCTCCTCCACTGTGGGAGCATAGCACAACTTTAACATAAAATTTAAAGTCAAGAAATAGGCTGGAAAAACAAGCAAATAACAACAAAAGAACCTGACTACGAAAAGCTACTATGGAGATAGGGAAGATCAAGACACAAACTCAAAAGACCTCAGTGTGAAAAGCAAAGCCTCAAAGAATAACTTGAATTGGACACAAGCCTAATAAGAAATCCTGGAACTGCCCAAAAAAGATTTGAAAAATCAAATCTGAGAGGTACAGGAAAAATTGGGAAAAGAAATTAATGATGCAAGTAAATTATGAAAAAAGAGTCAATAGCTTGGTAAAAGAGGCACAAAAATACTAAAGAAAAAATAACATCTTAAAAACAGAATTGAACAAATGGTAAGAGGCACAAAAATCCGCTGAACAGATGAACTCTTACAAAACAAAATTTGCCAAATGGAAAAAGAGGTACAAAAGTTCACTGAGGAAAAGAAGGCCTTAAAAAGTAGAATTGGCCAAGCAGAAAAAAATGTACAAAAGCTCACTGAAGAAAATAATTCCTTGAAATTTAGAATCGAACAAGTGGGAGCTAATGACTCCATAAGACATGAAGAAACAAAAATTATGGGATGCAGTGAAAACATTGCTTAGGGGAGATTTTGTATCTCTAGATATGTCAATAAAATAGAGAAAGAACAGATCAATGAATTGAACATGTAATTTAAAAGACTAGAAAAAGAAAAATTAAAAATCCCCAATTAAGTACCAAATTGAAAATTCTGAAAATCAAAGGGGAGATTAATAAAATTGAAAGTAAGAAAACCATTGAACTAATTAATAAAACAAAAGCTGGTTTTATGAGAAAACCAATAAAATGGATAAACTATTGGTTAATTAGATTTTTAAAAAGAAAGAAGAAAACTAAATTACCAGTATCAAAAATGAAAACAGTGAATTCACCACCAAATGAAGAAGAAATCAAATCAGTTAGTAGGAGCAACTTTGCCCAGTTATATGTCAATAAATCTAACAACCTAAGTGAAATGGATGAACATTTACAAAACACAAATTGTTCAGATTAACAAAAGAGGAAATAGAATATTTAACCCTATCTTAGACAAAGAAATTGAACAGGGTATCAATGAGCTCCCCAAGGAAAAATCCCCAGGACCACAAGTGAATTCTACCAAACATTTAAAGACCAATTAATTTCAATGCTATGTAAACAGTTTGAGAAAACAGGCAAAGGAGTCCTATTAAATTCTTTTTATGACACAGATTTGGTGCTGATACTTAAACCAGGAGGAGCAAAAACAGAGAAAGAAAACTATAGACCAATTTCCCTAATTAATATTGATGCAAAAATTTTAAATAAAATACTAATAAGGAGATTATAATAATGTATCACAGAGATCATACATTATGACCAGGTAGTATTTATACCAGGAATGCAGGGCTCATTCAATATTAGGGAAACTATCAGCAATATTGACCATATCAATAACGAAAGCAACAAAAAAAAATCATACAATTGTATCAATGGATATTACTAGATTTATTGGTGGGTCCTCCATGGGAAGGTGAGAATCCAAAGAGCCTTCAGTGAAGATTCCTCTATAGGTGCATCCAGAACATAGGTCAAATGTTCAACCTCTACATAGCCTTGTCAGGTACCATTCCAATGCTCAGATAATGTGTCTTCAAGTCTCCCTGTAACATAAAGGGCAAACAAAATGGAGACCTGATCTCATCCAATTATAGGATAAGCAAGCTTACAACAAACAAATCAGACAAGCTCAGGTAAAACCCAAACATGTGTTGTCTCCCAAAAAAGAGATTATTTCACTTGAGATTGACTGGAAGCAGCTTCACAGATGCTGGAGGAACTCTTCATTCTAACAACAGACCAACAAATTTTCCAGGGGACTGGTGACTTATTCCTTTGTTTTAGGTTCATTGGGGTACCAGGGTCAGTCTCAGGTAAGCCTGGCCTTTAAATAAAGGGTCTGAATTCTTTTTATTTTGTCTTACATTCTTTACCTTGCCATCCTGGAACCTCAGGTAAAATCAGCTCCACACATGCTCCATGGGAAGTGTCCTCTCTTCATTACTAAAAAAAAAATAAAAAGGAATTAGAGTCAATGAACCCTTTTAAAAATGCTCAGAAGATTTCAGAAGAAAGTTCAAAAGAGAATCCAGACAAAGAGGATACTTTCTTTAGGATTATGCTAAATTCATTATACTTTCATATTATATTATAAACTATGTAACAGAAGTTTGCAGTTTCATATGCAATTGTCTTGCTCTGTTCTTTGCATACTGAAAAATGAATATTAAGTTCATGAGAACAATTTGTTTAAAAAGGCTTAAAAAACCATTGCTAACTTTAGAGGTAGTTTCTGTTTAGTGTTAAAACTGGAGGCCAGGTTGCATGCAAGAAGTTGAGGAGTGAAAGAAGTGTGGAAAAATATGGGGAAACCATATAACTTTATTACTTCAGTAGTGGCTTTTTCATTCCCCAGTCCTTATTCCCCAAATTTGGAGAAGATGCTGTAGGCAGTGGTCCTATGACACATACAATATGAAGGAGCGACAAGCCCATAGTCTTAAAGGCAAAGGGTCATTCACCTAGCTACATAGATGGACCCTGGTCACAGTCAGAAAAAATTCAGGCTATGGTTATGTCCATTCATCAAGACTATCGTGTGAACGATCTTTGGGAAATTTTGGGAAAATAGGATGAAGTATAAGGAGAAACAAATCAACCATACTTGTAAAGTGACATGGTATATCTCTTGAACTTCAAGCTTCTTCTTTTTAAACATTGAAGCCTTAAATAAATGAGAGATCCTCTTTTCTGAGCAAGAAAAAGGTAGTAGTGATAGGAAGGATGATAATTAGGGTCCTTTCTTCCCACAAATTCTGTTATGTGATTTTCCCATGATGTCACAGAATCACAGAATCTCACAGTTAAAAGAGTTCTCTGTAACTCATACCTGAACAAAAATCCATCCTATGACATTCCTGAAAATCAGTCATCCAATCGTTGAAGTCCTCAAGCAGTGAGAAGAAACCCACTATTTCCTAACGTAAGCAATTCTGCTTTTGGATATTTAGAATTTCAGGAAGTGTTATTATTATTGATACAGTTGGGGGGATGGGTTTTGTTATTGTTAAATCAAGCCTTAATTTTTCCTCTCTGGCTTCCAAACACTACTCTTAGCTTTTCCCTCAGGGTCAAGCAGAGCAAGCTTAATCCATTGTCCATGATATTGATATTTCAGTGCTTGAAGACAGCTTTCATATCCCCCAAAGGTGTAGCATAAATGTATTTACATACATATGTATGTACAAACATACATTTGCTCTGGGCTCACTCTCCTAACCCCAATTCTACTGGCAGGCTGGGTTCACAGAGAAGAGCTACTTCTCCATCTCCCTTTAGGGATATAGGGGTACCCTTGGGAGACTATGAGGTTCTTCTAGTGCTATGATTACCAAGCTGTCATCTAGCACGTTCACCCTGATATCATTTGATCGTATCAATTAGTATATCCCCAATATCAGTCTTAGAGAGCCCTTCTTGTAGCTGTTTTGGCTCCTTGGCCAGCTTAGGTACAGCAGTCATTATAGTCTCTTCCATGGACTCTTGTCAATAGACTTCTGGTGGCTCCTCCAACTACTTGAAAGCCACCATATCATGCCATTCCCAACATTCTTTCACCTAAGATGATAAGGGAGTAAACGTGCTAGGAAGAGAGGAAACAGCAGAGTCACATATTTATGGACTACATGGTGGCCCCAGGTGAAGCAATAAGACACTCACAGCAGTACCTGCCACTGCCACTACCTCTCTCCCCTTTCTGAGGTCTGCAGTACTTCTTCACTTGGAAAGCAGCTAGGGAAAAAGAAATTGAGTTTTTTCATAGGACCTTTTATACATGTACACTCAGCTCTAGCTCATCAGAAATTTAAAAGGCTTCTCTTTTAAAAAAGCTTTTGAAAAAAAACTGTAAAAAAGGCTTTTCTTTAAAAGGCAGAAAGGAAATAGTGACAAAATTCTGACCTTCCATTATCAACTATCAGACATTTCCAGAAGTAGGATTCTAAACTCTCTCCATGGGTTAGCATCAGACAGAGAAAATCCTAATAGGAGCATTCTTCAGACCCTCTCTTAGAAATTATTTATTCTTAGGTTACTAAGATTTCAAATAACCTTGCTCTGCTAATCTGTGCTCCACAGAATATTTGAAACATCAACTGAGAAGGAAAAGGTATATTGGGACTATTAGAGAACAAGCAGGCATAGCGAGAGCACAAAACATCAGCTGACAGATTGACATCGGAGGAAAAAGCCAATCAGCTTTAACAATGTATCTCAGAACAGAAGAAGTATTCCAATTTAGAGTTAGTCTACATCATGGGGACAAGTAGCCCCCTCAGGAAGCATTGATGGAATCATTGTATTATAGCAGAGAAAGATCATGAAGATTATAGAGAGGCATGTTGGCATAGTGGATAGAGTGTTGACTTTGCGATCTGGAAGAACAGGATTCAAATCTTACCTCTGGCAATATATTAGGTATGTAACTAAAGGTAAGTCACTAAATCTCTCAGATGTTTAAGATGACAAATTATGGAAGAGATAACAGCCTGTGTTGGTGGAGGTTGGTTCTATTTGGCCTTTGTGAGTTCCCTACATTCATGAAAGGTCCAGATTTTAAAAAAATAATAATGATAATGAGTGCTTATAACTGTGACTCTAGTCCCTCAATAATAGGAGGCTGAATCATGTTTTGTATTCACTGTTCAAGAATGCAAAGAAATATATAATACATTTAACATTTGCAAACCTTTGTTAATGAGAAAGCCTGAAATTTATATATATATATATATATATACATATATACACAAATAATATAAAATGAAAGTCTTTATAGTTTATATCAACAGAAATTGTAATTCAGGATGGTGTCCATATAGGTTGAAAGAGTGCTTATTCTGAAAAAGAATCACCAGAATTTTAAAATTTAACTCTAAATCTTATCTTAACATTAGGACCCTGAAAGAGGCATTAAGGGACCACCTAGTGAAGTCCATTTGCTTGTAGCTAACTTTGGAAAAAAGTATTCCAAATTTAACTTATCTACCTGGACTCAGTCCCATTTTTAGGTTTGAGTTTTGAATTAGGTGCATAATCTGTCCCTTATTTCCCTGTGACAGTCACCATAGAGTCATCAGTCTCAGCCACTAGTTTATCTGTAGAGCAGGGATTATGTTAGGCATCGTCTAACCCAGGGTTGGAATTTAGGGGGCATTAGATGGAGGCCTAGAGTTTTAGAACTTAAAGTACTAAAAAATTCCTAGAAAGGACAGCCTATGCCAATAGTGCTTGGTATCTGATAATAATAGTAACATATTAGCTCTTGTGTATAGAGTATTTTAAGGTATATAAAGTAATGTCTTTATAGTAAAGTTATGAGAATAATTATGCAAGTATAGTTATTTCACATATGGGGAAACAGGGTCAGAGAGAATATTATGCTAAGAGCTCTGAGGCCAGAAGGGCTCAAAGAGAGTGAGAGAGAGTGAGGGATTGGATTGGTAGCTGTGCCGTGTCTTGTCTGAGAAAGGAATTTCTGTTATTTCAAGCTGAAACCTTTCTCATCATTTTCTCTGATGTTTGGGAAGAATTTTGTTTTTCCCCTCATGATATGAGTGTAACAGAAGAGTAGATAGAAGAAGCAAAACTACTTGAGGAACCAAGGAACACTAATTTCCAATTTCTTATTTCTTTAGCTACATCATACTTTTGTGGCTTAGAAATTAGGAGAGTTTGGTTTTCCCAGAAAAGCCTGGTTTCTGACCTGTTTTTTTTCCCCCCAAGTGTGGGTGGAGGATGGGTGGCTGGTGATGTTGGGATGAAGGGGGACTGGGCTTGAATTTAATTTTCAGTTTAGAAAACTTCTGCATTTTATAGCCCCAGAGAATAATGGGCTGTACATCATCCCTAAACACCTCCATCCAGCTCCACCCACACATTGGAACTATAAGATAGGAGCACATTCAGAGGGAAGAGAGATCAAGGCTCCTTCCCAGCCCTGGAGCTGACTGGATCCTAAATCAGCAGAAGGCAGAACAGTGACTCTAGGTGAGAAGAGAAAGCCCAAGAATGGGACTGGCCATTTGAGAGTATCCGCAAAAGGGGAGGTAGCTGAAAGGATCCTTTGTGGCTAAGGATTCCTTTGTAATAACAATTAAACTCACCCCCTTGGCCATGCTCAGTTCCCCAGTTGTCACCCCTTAGTTTCAAATTCTCTCCCTCCTCCGCATCTTCCCTCACTCATTGAGAAGATACTCATTATACATATGAAGTTATGCAAAACATATTTCCATATTAGCCAGGTTCAGTCTTTTGTAAGAACTCTTGGCATTTGACTTCTCCCCTTATTTTCTCTTGTTTGAATACAGTCATGAAGTAAGAGGGGAAAAAAGGTGTTGGGAGAGGTCCCTGGAATGGTAATCTATTCTGGAAAGGCTTTTACTCTACAGAGCTGTTGTGTACCCCACATATGTTGGATAGTGGTTTTTTTCCTCCTCAAAACTTCATTTTCAATAAATTCAGTTGTTCTGATTTAGTGGCTGTGACTTGCTTGGCTTTCCATTCACTTCCTCTCTTCATGTCATGAAATAGTCATTGGCTCTACAGCAGATAGAGAAAAAAGTTCTTAAGGGAAGGAACAGGAAATGACATCTCACACCTAAGGCCTTGACTTCAGATTGTGGAAACATTCAACTACCAGGGGACAGTGACATTAAGGTGTGCTGTCTCTGTTGGGTGTGGGTAGTCAAGCTGGAAGAGAGGGTGAATGAAAAAAAAACAACCCTTAAGATCTTGGAGCCCTGAAGGCAGAAATAAGAGATGAAGAGTGTGTATTCATGGACACAGAGGAAGAATCATACAGATATGAAGACAATCACCTCTCCACTCAGTGGCTAAAGTGATATTCCTTGAAAAAATGTTTAAATTATTTCTTTATTTTTAACATTCATTTTTAAAATTTTGAGTTCCAAATTCTCTCCCTCTTTCTAGTCCCTCACCCACCCATTGAGAAGGCAAGCAATGTGATGCCTGTGTATGTGTGAGTCATGCAAAACATTTCTATATTATCCATGTTGCAAAAACAAAAAAGCAAGAAAAATAAAGTGAAAAATAATATGCTTCTATCTGTACTCAGAGTTTGTCAGTTCTTTCTCTGGAGATGGATAGCATTTTTTATCATGAGTCCTTTGAAATTGGGTTGGATCATTTAATTGGTCAGAGTAGCTAAGACTTTCACAGTTGATCACTGTTACAATATTGCTGCTGAATTAGTGCACAATGAATTGTATGAATCCGTGGCCAATATTCTCCTGGTTCTGCTCACTTTATAAGGTGATATTCCTAGAGAATAGTTCTGAGCCAGGAATTCCATATTGCCTCTGGATAAAATATAAATTCTTTGTTTGGGATTTAAAGCCCTTCACCACCTGTCTTCAGCTTACCTTCCCCTTGTTTATTACTCTCCTGATGATCTCAGTCCCACTGAAACTGGCCTATTTGTTGAAGCTTTTTGGCTATATTCTGTCTCCCATCTCCATGGCTTTGTACAGGTATGTGCTACTCTACAAGCCTGGAATATACACCCTCCTCATTTCTACCTCTTGGAATCCCTAGCTTCCTTTAAATCTTAAGTGGTAAAGCCTTTCTTATTCCTTTCAGCTGTCTGTGTCCCTCCTTCCAAATTTGCACATATAATGGGTTTGATTTGGAGGACACCCCATGGATTGTTGCATCATTCTCCCATTTTTGGTATTTACTGATGTCCATGTTTCCCCTATCTACATATGATGTATTGAGAACAGAGATTCTTTTGTTTTTGTCTGTCTCCAGCACCTGGAACAGTGCCTTGAACATAGTAGGTACTTAATAAATGTTTTGAGGGCAGCTAGGAGGTACAAGGGATAAAGTACTGGGCCTGGAGTCAGGAAGACCCAAATTCAAATCTGGCCAATCTTGATATTTGTGTAGTACTTTGATTCCATCAAGAAATATTTCGTTCTCTAGAAATGTGCTACTCAAAATTAAAAAAAAAAAAAAGAAACGTGCTACTCCATCTCTTTTGCTTTCACCTCTAGTTTGGAAACCATGGCACCTCAGCTATACATAGACAGCTTATGTGTAACATTTGTACCTACCTGGATCTAAAGGTGAAGCTATCAGGCAAGCAACAAGCATTCATTTAGCGCTTACTATGTGCCAGGCATTGTTCTAAGGATGGGAGGTACAAAGTAAAAACAGTTTCTGCCCTTAAAGAATTTATATTTTAATAGGAGAAGATAACACAAAAAAGGAAGCTGAAAAGCTAGGTGTGGAGAAGAGGAAGGGGAAAGGTATCCACGTGAGGGATAAGGTGTTGAAGGTAAAGAATTAGAAACAGAACAGGGAAGGAAAGGTATGGTGGCTAGCCTAGACCCGCTCACCAAAATGGAGGACTCTGGAACCCACCAATGAGAGGAGGCTGGAACAGCAGAGGTGTATTCCTAGGTGAGGAGCCTTGAGGGAAGTTCCAAGATTTGAAGACAGCTGAGAAATGGCATTGAATCTAAAAGAAAAAAAACCAAATCTTTCCTCTGACCCCCATTTACAGAATGTGGATGTACCCAGCCAAAGCCAGCTGCACATTTTCCTTCCCACACGGAAATTCCTACTCCCTAATCAACACACTCAACAACAACTGTGGAAAAAGCTTTCTGGGGCAGTTAGGTGGTGCACTGGATAGAGCACTGGCCCTGGATTCAGGAGGACCTGAGTTCAAATCCGGCCTCAGACCAAACACTTGACACCAGCTGTGTGACCCTGGGCAAGTCACTTAACCCATTGCCTAACCAAATTAAACAAAAAAAAGAAGAAGAAAGAAAGCTTCTCTGAGGATGTATGGGGAAGGGAGTGCTTTCTTCTAGGCATTGTAGCTAGCCAGTGCAAAGGAATAGAGATGGGAGATGGATTCACAAAATGTAATTTTTTTCTTGTTTGACTAATGTAGCAAATGATAATATTATCATCTCCCTATACCTCTTAAGGTAGCCTATGATCATAATAGCTTTTCTTTTTTCATTTGGCTAACAATTCAAACTGTTAACTTATATTGACTTTACCATCAAGTAAAAAAGTGTTTTAGTTCCAAATTCTCTCTTTTCATCTCCCCACTCCACCCACTGAGAAGGTAAGAGAAATAAAACTCATTGCAAATATATATAGACATGCGAAACAAGTTTCTGCATTAGCCATGTTCCACTAAAAAAAAAAAGCAGGAAAAAAGAAATAGAAGAAAATATGCTTCAGTCAGCATTCTAAGTCCCTTAGTTTTTTTTTTTTTTCTGGAGATTAACAGCATGGTATATCATAAGTCTTTTGGAATTGTGTTTCATCATTGTGTTGCTCAGAGTTGATCATCTTTATAATGCTGTTGTTTCTGTATAAACTGTTCTCCTGGCTCTGCTCACTTCACTTTGCAACAGTTCATGCAATTTTCTCAGGTTTTTCCCACTTAATAGTATTTTATTTTTTCCAACTACATGTAAAGATAATTTTTAACATTCATTTTCATAAGATTTTGAGTTTCAAATTTTTCTCCCACATTCACTCCCCTCACCAATCCCTAAGACAGAAAGCAATCTGATATACATTATACATGTACAATCATGTTAAACATATTTCCACATTAGTCATGTTGTGAAGGAAGAATCAGAACAAAAGGGAAAAACCATGAGAAAGAAAAAAACAAAAAAATTAAAAAAGTTAAAATAGTATGCTTTGATCTTCATTCAGACTCCATAGTTCTTTCTCTGGATGTGAATAGCATTTTCCATCATAAGTCTTCTGGAATTAAAAAAAAAGACAATTGTCTTTGATCATTGTTTTGCTGAGTAGAGCTAAGTCTATCATTGCACAATGTTGTTGTTACTGTATACAATGTTCTCCTGGCTCTGCTGACTTCATTCAGCATCAGTTCATGTAAACCTTTCCAGGTTTTTCTGAAATCTGCCTGCTAATCATTTTTTTTTTTTTTTTGGTGAGGCAGTTGGGGTTAAGTGACTTGCCCAGAGTCACACAGCTAGTGAGTGTTATGTGTCTGAAGCCAGATTTGAACTCAGGTCTTCCTGAATCCAAGGCTAGTGCTCTATCCACTGTGCCATCTAGCTGCCCCATCCAATTCTACTTTTTAAGGAGTTGTTTTCTTCGGTGGATTTTTTTCCCATTTGGCCAAATGTATTTTTTAAGGAATTGTTTTCTTCAGTTAATTTTTGTCCTTTCCCCAAGCTATTGACTATCTTTTGCATAGCTCTCATTTTTTTCCCCTCTTCTACCTCTCTTATTTGATTTTTAAAATCCTTTTTGGGCTCTTCCAAGAAAGATTTTTGTTCTTGAGACCAATTCACTTTCCCCTTTGAGGCTTCACATTTATGCATTTTGGCATTGTTGTTCTCTTCTGAGTCTGTGTTTTGATCTTCCCTATCATCATAGTACCTTTCTACGGTCAGGGCTCTTTCCTGTTTTTTACTCATTTTTAGCCTATTTCATGACTTTTAAAGTTGAGCTCCACTGCTGGGGCATAGGGGGCACTGTCCCAAGCTTCTTGGTCACTGGCTTTCTCTACCAGGCCTTGGATGCTGGCAGCCTGCCCAATGTGCTGGGATGGCCTGGCTTAGTCATGCCTGTTGTGCAAGGTGTTCCTAGGCTGGCAGTTTGCCTTCTGCACTGAAGCTGGAGGCTTCCTCACAGCTGGCCTGCTGTGCCACTAGCCTGTAGAGCCAGGACCAAGGGGACTTCTGTTGCTGATCTGTGCTGTGGCTAAGAGCCTCCCACTGGCTTGCCCGAATACTATCTGTGCTGGACTATGCTCCCATTTTGCCCAAGTGAGACAGACCTATCCTGAAGTCCTTCTAAGTCATCTTAAGCTGGAAAATGGTATCACTCCATCTTTTCATAGGTTATGTTGCTTCAGAATGTGTTTAGAGGCTTAATTTAATGTTGTTTTCCAAGGGAAACTGGGGAGAGCGCAGGCAACTTCCTGGCTTTCCTCTGCCATCTTATCCCCCAGGTTTTTTTAAATCATCTTCTTCATCATTTCTTAGAGCACAGCAATATTCCATCACTTCATATATCATAACTTATTCAGCCATTTCACAACTGATGAATATCCCCTCAGTTTCCAATTCTTTGCTATGACAAAAAGAGTTACTTTTCCTCTTTCTTTGATCTCTTTGAGGTATAGACCTAGTAGCAGTATTGCTGGGTTAATAGCTTTCTGGGCATAATTCCAAATTGCTTTCCAGAATGGTTGAAGTAGTTCACAGCTGCATCAATAGTGCATTAGTGAACCTATTTTCCCATATCCCCTCTAACATTTGTCATTTTCCATTTTTGTCATCTTAGCCAATGCGATGTATGGTACCTTGGAATTGTTTTAACTTGTGTGTCTATAATTATTAGTGATTTAGAGCATTTTTTTTTCTTGTGGCTACTGACAGTTTTGACTTGGGTTTCTCTTGATCCATATCATTCATTATATTTGGTGTTTTCTTCTATTTAGTCATATTTTCAGTCTCAGTTTCTGAATTGTAACTTTGTGTTAGGATCAGGCTCAGTCCTGTCCTACATTCTTAGATGGAGCTGGCAGGCCCCACTTAATCTTTCCTCTTCTGAAGTCTGGATGCAATTCTAGATAGTGTTATCAGAAACAGGCCCAAGCCTTTGATGTAGTCCCTGGCTTCTGCTTCCTCCACGTGTGTCCCAGTTCGGGTGTCAATCTCAGCCTTTTTTTGTCTCTCTTTGTGCAGTCTCCAACCAGGAGTAGACTCCATCACTTGATATGGCCCTAACATGCCCCAAACAGATGGCAGAGATTGTTCTGGTTTCAGACTTATTAGAAGGTCCCCATTGCCTAGCCTATCTCCTTACACAATGAATGACCCCCTGGGGCTGGTTCTGTCCCATACTGTATCTCTAACAGGTAAGGGCTAAGATCCTGTTGACTTCAGGCCCTGTTTATAAGAGATAGGGCAGGATATAGGTCACAGAGCACCTGCAAGTTTTATGTTCCATTTATTAGAGATTAGACTGGCTTTAGACACCCTGGCAGGTATTTATTGTGAGTATCCACAGTCTTCTGGCTATTTTACTGTGTACCTCCTACTACACTACATGAAAGAGCTTACTGGTATTTCTCTTTTGTCTTATTGATCATTGTACAGTCTGGTGCACTTTTAAATATTTTCTTCAGTATTTGTTAGTGAAGTTAAGCTCCTCTTGGACCTTTCACATTACCATCCTAATTGAGACTTCCCTGAGACTTGATTTTTAATTGCCTCCCTCCCCTCCCCCCAATAATCATGATGTAAATACAAAAAACAGCAATAAAATGTATGTGTTTTTAAGAGGGGAAAAAGCAGAGAGGGGATAACAACTGGAGCAAGGTTCTGAATGAGATAAAAATGTGGGTGGGAGCAGTGAAAGGGATTATTTTTAGCAAGGAATGGAGACCCTTATTCCATGACTTGAGGTATGAAAGAGAGAGACTCTGTGTGTGTGTATGAGAGACAGAGACAGACAGAGACAGACACAGACACAGAAAGAGACAGAGACAGAAAGATAGAGACAGAGAAAGAAAGAGTGACAGAGAAACACAAAGACAGACAGACAGAAATATAGAAAGAAAAAGATTTAAGAAACAGTCTGAGTGGGGATTTGAGTGGAGAGGAAATGGTTTTGAAAAGTTGCATTGGAGAGAGAAGAATTTACATTTGTTCCAGCTTGTACTGAATCAGGATACCCCTTGGTAACATCCTAAGCAAGTATTCATCCAGAAGACCCCAGAGAAGGAGAATTTACTGCCTCCTAAGGTTAGTTCACTTCACTTTTCTCTAATTCTTGCAAAACATTTTTATTGAGTAGAAACTTGCTTCTCTTCAATTTGCATGCATTTTTTCCTAGTTATCTTCTTAGGTTCATGTAAAACCAGTAAAATCCCTTACTCTTCTTCTCAGTCTTGAATCCTTCTTGTATTTAGAACCCTAAGTTTCGGGGTGTTGTCATATTTCTATAGGACATTCTAAGATCCAGGACCAAAGGACTTGTTCTACTATAGTCTGGAAGTGGGTGAGATTTCTTGAGATATAGAGTTGGGAAAAAGGCCTAGTCTAGGAGGCTCCTACTTGGAGATGAATTTGAAATTATGGTTACCAAAGACAAAGGACAATAAGTGAGGCCCAGATGTAGAAGGTAAGACTGAAATTTCACATCTAAATCAGTATTTGAGGATCAGTTTCCCCAGCTATAAAATGAGGATAATTTCACCAATAGCATATACCTCAAAGGCTGTTATGAGGCTTGAATGAGTTAATGTCTGCAAGGCAAATTGAGAATTTTAAAGTACTGTCAACTATTAATATTATCATTATTATTATTATTATTATTATTATTATTATTATTATAGATTACAAGGAAAAATCAAAGAGATGCTCATCCACTGTTGTCCAGACGGTCCAATGCAGTGTAGTAGAAAGTAGCCTAGACCTGGAGTCAGGAAAAATCAGGGTTGAAATCCCGGTTTTGTTGCTCTCTGTTTTCCCCTGGGTAAGTTATTTAACTTTTCTGAGTTAATTTCCTTAGTAAAATGGGTTAACAACTTGTCAACAAACATTCATTAAATGCCTGCTGTGTGCCAGGCACTTTGATAAGCACTAAGGATACAAAGAAAGGCAAAAATCTTTCTGGAGATAGAGTGTCATATGCAAGGACTAATGCTAAGTATGCTATCACTGGGTTGTAAAACACTTGGAGAGGAGTAAAGTAGAAGACTGTAAAGGTAGAAGAGGCAAAAGACTTCAAAAAACAGAACAGAGGATTTTATAATTGATCCTGGAGGGAGTAGGGAGCTGCTGGAATTTATTAAATGGATGGGGCAGGTGGGGGAAGGGATTGACATAGTCAGATCTGCAATTTAGGAAGATCATTTAACAGCTGAGTGGAATGGAAAGTGACATAAGGCAGGGAAATTAAACATTAGGATAGTGCAATAATCCAGGTATGATGGCCTGAAGTAGGGTGGGGACAATGTCAAAGGAGAGAAAAGAGCATATACAAGAGATGTTATAAAGGCAGAAACAAAAGGATTTAGTGACTGATTTGAAATGTGGGGTAAGAAAGAGTGAGGAGTCAAAGATGATGCCTAGACTTCAAGCCTGCTTGACAGGAGGATGGTAGTATCCTCCAGAGTAATAAGGAAATCAAGAAGATGAGAGAGAAGGGTGTGGGAGAGAAGGTAATGGGTTCAGTTTTGTACATGTTAGGTTGAAGATGTCTGTGAGATATCCAGTTTTCTGTCTACTGAGCAGTTGGAGATTGAAGACTGGAGAAGAAATATTAGGGCTGGACAAATAGATCTAAGAATCATCTACATAGGAATGATAATTGAATCCATGGGAGTTGATGAGATCACCAGGTAAGATAGTATAAAGGAGAAGAAAAGGGCCTAGGACAGAGCCTTGGGGGACACCCACAATTAGAGGGCATGATCTAGATGAAGATAGAACAAAAGGGGGCAGCTACGAGGCATGGTGGATAGAGCACTGGTCCTGGACTCAGGAGGACTTGAGTTCAAATCTGATTTCAGACCAGACACTTGATACTTACTAGCTGTGTGACCCTGGGCAAGTCACTTAACCCCAACTGCCTGGCCCCCCCAAAAAAGAAAATAGAGCAAAGTAGACTGAAAGTAGTGGTTAGAGAAATAGAGAACTAGGAGAGAGCAGTGCCACAAAAATCCAAAAAGAAGAGAGTATAAAGGAGAAGAGGGTAATCAGCAGTGTCAAAGGCTGTAGAAAGGTCAAGAAGGATGAAGGTTCAGAAAAGGATATTAGATTTGGCAATTAAGTAAACATTGGTAATTTTGGAGAAAGTTATTTTAATTGAATGATGACATTGGAAGCCAGACTACAGAGAATTTAGAAGAGAGTGAGAGGAAAACAAGTGCTGGTGCCAATTATAGATGGTGTCCTTAAGAAGTTTAGTCATCAAAGGGAGGAAAATGATATACTAACTAGTGGCAATGGAAGAATCTCAGTGACTTTTTTTTGGGTTGGTTTTTTTTTTTTGAGAATAGGTGTCTTGAATGATTTTTAGACTCCTATTTTATTCCGATCAATCATTATTCATTTTAGTGTGATTCCATAGGGGTAGTGATTATTTCTGTTAAATTTATCTATTAATATATACTTAGTCAGTTTAATCAACTAATGTTAATACATATATATCTTATAATTAGATAAGATTAGATATACATAGCCTATATTCAGGGATAATTAGGTAAGATTAGATTGATTTTTATATTAGTCCCCAAAACTTTAAATTACAAGTTATAAGTTCACTTGCTTGTTATAAAGTTCACTTGCCTAACCATAGAATGCTGACTAGAAGACCTCTATCTACCCTTTTGGCCTGACAAGTGAGTGATCAAGTCCTGTGTAAGTGAGAGGACCTCTTGACCTCCATCCACTTTTGCCTAATTACCATGACCAAGCTCTAAGGGCAGAGATGACCTAATGATATAGAAAGTCCCTCAACTTATTTTCATACCTTCAGATCAACCTCTGTTGCCCAACACGAGGAGAAACCCATCCTATGACCTGTTAGTCAGTAGACATGAACCTTGAGCTGCCCATCATGTGACCACTCATGTAGATGGATTATTTTTGGTCCTTTTAGAGAGTTAAGGTATGGGCCTAGGGAGTCAAGCTATAGGTCTATTAACCAACAAGATTCTGTATTTAACTTTGCATCTTATGTGTCATCTGGGTATAAAGCAATATAAAACTAAGGCCCTGGAGATAGAGGGCATCTCAGATCATGAGGAAAATCTGAGGTCCTGTTCATTGATGGGGGTCTAGTCCCTCTAATAAATGGTTATTGGCTTGGAGCTCTGCTTCAGTGCCTTTTACCACATATTGGACAATTTTTAGACAAGATGGAATGAGATCACCTGGGATGAAATCACCTGGACATGTAGAGATTTGCCTTGGCAAGGAGAAAAGCCACCTCTTCATGTAAGACAGGAGTGAAGGAGGAGATGTAGTAGAAGATATCTAAGGGATATAACATGAAGAGTAGAGGAAAAGAGAAAAGACTTGGCAAATGGCCTTAATTTTCTTAGTGAGATAATTTTACAATACTTTTCTCTTGTGGTTTTGTTGAGGGAAGAGAATCAGAGAATCTCAGGATTCACAAGGACTTCAGGAGTTATTTTGTGCATCCCCATCAAGCAATCATCAAACCTTTGCTTGAAGACATCCAATGAAGAGGAGCCCACTACCTCCTGACAAAAGTCCATTTCGCTTTTGGATAGTTTGAATTGTTTTGAAGTTTTTCCTGATACCACACCTAAACGTTATTCTGCACTTTCCAGTCATTACTACTATTTCTGCCTGCTGGAATCAAGCAAAATGTCTCATCCTTTTTTGCCACATAACATACACGTTTCTTGGGGAGCACAGAAGAACCTTTAGAGAGCTGCAGGAGGCATTAGTGGCAGATTAGGGGTAGGAGGGAAGCAGATACCATGCTCATTAGGAAACTATAAGCTCACAGGTGCCAGAAGAGGGCCAACTGGTAAATAATGTATCCCAGTTAGTACCCCTTTTTCCCTCCACAGTTTCAGCAAAAGAAAGGTGTTAAATCTTACTTCTCTCTCCAGGGAAAGTTACACCATGAAATACATGAGATACATATGTGATAGATATGAGCAGGTGATGCTGGAGACAGAGAAAGACAACCAGCCTGGTGGCCAGTCAGCCTCTCACTGGACAACAGAACACAAGGAGCTGGCTAAGCTGGTGATGATGAAACAATTGGATAAAGGGACATGGATTATGTAGGTTAGAGCAGAGGAAGATGAGGGGTCACTTGATAATCACCTTCAAGTCAATGAAAGGATGTGAACAAGAGATGATGACCAACTCATTTCCATCACAGTTAGGTAAATTCAATTCATATTGAAGTTAAACATTTATTAAGCACCTACCATGGGCAAGGCACTGTGCTCTGTACTGGGATATAAAGACAAACTGACACAGATGTCGATATCAAGGAATTTATGATAAAATAGGTGAAGAAGAGAAGACATACAAGAATGTGATACAGAGAAAGTGGAGGGAAGGAGGGGATGGAATGACACTCTATTAAGCATCTACTATGTGTCAGGCACTGTACTAAGTGCTTTACAAATATCTCATTTGATCTCATTTTAATAAAAAGGGAGAGTGTGATACATGCAAAGCAAATGTTCACAAAAAGTACTACGAAAATTTTTAGTTGTAGGGGGTGGAGGCAGGGCCAAGGTTAGCTGGGGTTTCTTGGAGCAGGTTCGACCTGAACTGAGCCTTGAAGGACAAGAATGCTTTCAACAGGCAGAGATGGGGCACAGTAATCCTATTCCAGACAAGGGGAATTGTATGAGCAAAAGGAAGTTGATGAGATGCTAGGTAAGACTAAGCTGAAGGACTGGAATTCCAGCTTCAGTTTGGTTGGAATGTAGAACATGTTGGGGGGAGAGAGAGAGAGAGCAGTATGAGTTAGGACTTTAAAGGAAGGTTGGCATTTGATTGTGAAGGGTTTTGAATGTGAATATAACCCCTGTTTGGCTCCAATATGAGGGTGGGTCTAGGAGATCTCATGGGAAAAGTAATTTAGACCTTCATTAAGCAATTTATAGTTTTGTTTCATTTGGCTAGCCAAGAAGTCCAGAGTGTAATAAAGGCAAACTGAGAGAGATGTGGATGGTGCCAATCCTGTAGTGGGGTGGAAGAAGTGATGTGAAGGTGGCTACTGGGAAAGGGGAACGAACTATTAACATAACCAGTGGTCTGAGATGGAGCTTCTTTTCCCAAGGCTAATGAGATGAGCCAAAACTACAAACTCTGTAATGCTCGGTGGAAATCTAAACTACTCTCCAAAAAGTCCTCAGCACAGCCCTAATGGTCTGAGGGATGGGTGTTGGGATCCTTAAACAGCCTTTACACTAGGATCAAATGCTTACACTTTATTTGGAAGACAATGGAAAGAAATTAAAGGTTTTGGAGTTGTGTGACAGGTGGGAATGGTACATTAAGAAGGTTTCTTGGGCTGGAGTGTGAAGGATGGATTGGGGAAAGGAATGATTGATATAAGAGGTCCAGCTAAGAGGCTATTTCAATAGTCTAAGTAAGAAGCTATGAGAGCATAAACAAAGTGTTGCAGGGAATCTACAATAATGGGTAGATGCAAGTGTTAATTCAGAAGTAGAACTGTCAGGGCTTAACAAATGGAATGTATTTGCAGACAATATGAAGGAATGGGGAAAGTGAGGGAGAGGGAAGAGGCAAAGATGACTCCAAGGTTTTGAGCCTCCTCAGCTAGTGCTATAACAGAAATAGGGAAATTAAAGGAGAGTGCTAGGCTTGTGGGAAGGCAGATGGGAAATTCACTTCGGGGCATATTGGATTTAAAGTGTTGCTGAGTATCCAGGTGAAGATCTCCTTTAGATGCTGGAGATGTGGGACTGAAACCTAGAAGAGAGGTCTGAGCTGGGACAGCGATTTAAGAATCAACAGAGGTAGCAACTGAAGGCTCAGGAGAGGTTGGGATCACCAAAAAAAAAAAAGTGACAGATGAGCAAAAAGACAGAATCTTGGGTGATATTCATGATTGAGAGAATTGAATTAATTTGATAGACAGAAGTTTAGGTTCAGCATAAGAAAGACTCTCCTGATAATGGGTAGTCTGACCCAAAGGAAAGAAGGATTGCAATAGGTCTTAATTCTTCAGTATAGGAGAGAGTCCCATCTTCCTCTTTGCCCCTTATATTATAGAGTTTAGAGAAATAGAGAAGGTAAGGAAGAGTTTCACAGACCAAAAAGACAAGTAAAAAACTTCACCCTAAAAATAATTTTTACTCTGAGAAAATCTAAAAGATTTTTATGTAGAACTGATTCTATAAATCCCAGTTCTTACAACTTGGAGGGGAGTACAGGAGTCAGGTCTTGAACTATGGAGAGTATGTGGCTCTGGGCAAAAGTTGTATTTAAAATCACAAAATCTTAGAGCCAGATAGGACCTTAGAAATCGTCTAGTCAAACCCCATCATTTTACAGATAGGGAAACTGAGGCTTAGGAAGGTTAATCAACTTTTCCAGTGTCATACAATAGCAAGTGTTAGAGCCAGATTCACAACCCTGACTCCTGACTTCTGTCTCATGTTCCCTACCAATCAATGGTAGTGGATGAATTGTGACAATCCTGTCCCTCCCAAGCTATGCTCCTGTGCGTGCACGCGCACACACACACACAAACACATACATGCATACTTCCTCCCCCTTCCCCCAGTAGCATATAGCTGAGTGTGGGCTATCATGCCAACATCTGTATATGAACATGAAAAAACCATAACTAATTATTGAGGATTGCTAACGAGTGAACGAGATTCTTCCCTAGCTCCTCTAGGAGAAATAACACATATCTAGGAAAACAATGAATTAAAGCTGAACTCATATCTGTGATGTGGGGAGTAGGATAGTACAAGAAAGGGAAAATCTGAAAAAGGGAAAAGATATAGGGTTACATTGGAAGAAAATTACATAAACTCAGACCAGGAAAAGAAACAGATTGGAAATAGAGAAAACAGATTTCTCAGAGAATCAGCGAAAGAAGGATTCTGGAGACCAGGAAGTAATTGAATTCAGATAGCTGGACAGAGCAGTCCAGATGAAAGAATCTAAAACCTGTCACCTAATCTGGACAAATAGAAATAGATGCCTTGGCTTCTGCCATAATACATACATGTGTGCATATGTATATAGTATATATGTACATATATAACATACACATATGTGCTTTGTATATATCAAATACACCTATAACATGCATATGTGTGTCTATGCATGCATGTATACATATATGCATATATAGAGAAAATATAGATAGATTTGTATATATAAAATGCTTATAAATTATAAATATAATAGGTATATAACAGTATATTATGATTATAATATATATAAAAAGTGTGATATAGTAAGTTATCATATATATGGAATTACATGCATATATACATGTAATATATGTAGTCAACAACTTTGCAATTACATATGTTCAATCTGGACCCTAGGTGGGATGTGCTGTCTTTCTGACTTATTACCAGGAAGGAAGGTGTGAATGGGGGTATGGGTGAGAATAAAGGCAAGAAGTCTGGCATGATACTCTTCTGCACAGAGGAGGCAGAAAAGAAGGAGGTTCAATGAGGAAGGAGAACAGCTCCCAAGGGGTTAGCAAATAGGCCCTGGTTGGAAAACGGGTAGGTGGATAAGAGGATGTGGGGAGAAGGCATACTGAGTTGGTTTGTGGTAGGTACCCATGGGGGGAGGGGTTAAGAGTTGGGTCAGTGTGAGAAACACAATAGAAGATGTTGAAGTTCTCCCTGGAAAACTCAGTTTCCATTGATACATCCATGTTTTGACCCTCTCTTCTTTCGATTCTTTCCGGTTAGGGATCTAGCCATGACTCTTGAGAAGATCCATCTGCCACTGTCTCTATTGCTGCTGCTGCTTTCATCTCTATTGCAGCCAGGGAGTTGCCAGGTTATTATCTTTGGTAATGAGACCGGTGTGCAAAGGTTCTGGAGGCTTCATGTGGACTATCCAAAGAGCAACATCCCTGGTGGGGAGAGTCAGTATTGCACAGTCATGATTCATAGTCGCCAGATCTTGGATAACGGCAAATGCATACAGGAGAACACTTTCATCCATGCTGTGGCAGGAGACATTTTTGACGTGTGCAAAACCCCAAGAATGAGGCACTGCTATGACGTAACAAAAAACTGTCACCTGAGTGACATTTCCTTCACACAGACCCTATGTGTCCTCCAAGAGTGCAGCCGTTTCCCCAAGTGTACATATGTGGGCTTCCCCAAATTCAACAAGATCTGGTTGGCCTGTGAAGGCATCCCCCCGGCTCCTGTGTACTTAGATCCATAACTCCTACTCGTAGGACTTTGCCTTGGGTATTCCAGAACTTGAGAATAGTCCCTGAGCACCCTTCTGATTTCCAGCTCCAGCTTCAGTTACTACTTAATAATAATAATCCCTTACTTTCCAAAGCACTTTCACATGTATTATTTTACTGGAAACTCAAACTCACCACAATCCTGTGTGGTCAGTTCTCTCTCTCTGTCTCTCTGTCTCTCTCTCTCCTTCCTACCTTTCCTTCTTTCATTCCTTCCTTTCTTCGTCACCCCAGTTCACCAGAAGAACAAGTAAGATCTTGCCCTTGAGTTACTTAAGTAACATTTCCAAACTCTTTTCAAGACTACACTTGTTAGCAACTCCAGGTCCTCTGCCTATTGGGTCCCTTTCAAGTATGGAACATGGGATAAATAAGCATGGATGATCTCAGGCTACTGTGCCCACTAAGAATGTCTGCATGTGTATGTATGTTCCACTGTGTGTGTATGGGTTTGTATGTGTGTTCTGCTCCACAAACTTGTCCGCACATTTGTATCTAGGTGTCTCATTGGTAGCTCAAACTTTACATAACCCAAAACAATTTAATTGTACTCACCTCCCACCCCTATCCAAACCATTTTTTTCCTGACTTGCCTGTTTTTGTCAGTGGCAACCTCTTCAACCTGGTTGCTCATGTTCAAAGCATTGGAGTTATCTTTGACTCTTCTCCATTACTGCCAATGCCTTACTTAGCAAGTCCTGGGAAGTCTATCAACATAACCTCTTTCACATTCTTCTTCTCTTTTCTTTTCCTGCTGCAACTATCCCAGCACAAGCTTTCGTTACCACTTTACCAGATTACTGCAATAGCTTTCCAGACAGTCCTACTGTCTCTGTTTTTTCTCCTTCCATTCCATCCTTCACACTACTGATGTTGAGTTTTTTTTTAAATACAAGTTTTATTGTCCATTGGTCTACAAGCATTTATTAAGCACTTACTATGTTCGAGGCACTGTGCTCAGTTCAGGCAAAAACACTGTGTCTATCCTCGGTGAGCTCACATTCCAATGGTGGAGACAATAGGTTTTGCATTGTACCATATGAGATAAATTTAATGTAAATAGAAGGTAATTATTATTGAGCCCTTTGTTTTTCCATTAGTCGTTTTTGTGTATAGCTCATATTGTCATTTCTAGAATTGAAACTTCTTTTGTAACCAAGAGAAGTAACCATGTCTGACAGCATATGCAGTGTCCTGCTCTTGTAATACCTGGCCTTTTTGTCTAGCAGGAATATATTTCACCATCTCTTCTCTGGGACCATTATTAGTTTTTCAATTATTCAGAGTTTGCTATCTTTTGAGCAAACTATAAATTAAATTTCCATATTCACAGATTTTATGTTATCCTTCCTTTGCTAAAAATCTTTTGGCCCCTCAAAATCTTTTGCTTGAGATCTTCTTACCTACTAAATGTAGTTAAATAGGTAATATGTTTTATAGTTTGGATTTAAGGTATATTAAGGCTCAAATGAAACTAAACTCGTCGCCCTCCACCCAGACATGTCATCTACTCTCCAATCACTGTACCTTTCCCATCCCATTTTCTCTGCTTAGAATGTTTCCCCCTTTCCTACACATCCTTTAAGAACTATCACAAATATCACATCTTCCTGAAAGCCTCTCCTTATTGCCCTAGTCAGAAATGATCATTCCTTCTGGAGATCTAGTGTAACATTTGGGGGTGGAGGCAGCATTTCTTTAAAGAATTATCACTTCAGAAAAATCTGGAAAGACTTGTGTGGACTGATACTGAGTGAAGGGAGTAGAATCAAGAGAACTTATACATGTTGTGCGATGACTAACTTTGATAGACTTAGCCCTTCTCAGCAATGCAAGGATCTAAGACATCTCCAAAGTCTCATGATGAAAAATGCTATCCACATCCAAAGAAAGAACTATGGAGTTTGAATGCAGATCGAAGCATAGAAAATGCTATCCACATCCAAAGAAAGAACTATGGAGTTTGAATGCAGATCGAAGCATATTGTTTGCTGTTTTTTTTTCTTCTGTTTTGTTTTGTTTTCTCTTTCTTGTCATTCCTCCTATTGGTTCTAATTCTTCCTCACAACATCACTAATGTGAAAATATGTTTAATGTATAGCCTATATCAGATTGCACGCAGTCTTGGGCAGGGAGGTGGGGAAGGAGGGGAAGAAAAATTTAAAACTCAAAAGCTTATGGAAGTGATTGTTGATAAATCAAAATAAAGTAATAAAAAAAGAATTATCATGTTCCATTGTGTATTTATATGTGTCTCATCAAATTTTAGGCTCCATAAAGGCAGAAATTCTGTGTTATTTATTTTGTATGTGTCATAGTGCAGCTGGCAGCAGCCTGTACATCATAGGCTCTTAGTAAATGTTTTTTTTTAACAGTTTTTAACCAAATACAAACAATCATTAAAATATTGGGAGTAGACGAGGCGTCAAAGGGAGAAAGAAGAGAAGGCTAAGGAAAGGGCCTTGTAGGATGCTTGCTTTGAGGTTGATAGGTATCATCCACAAACATTAGGGAAGAAAGATTCTACATCCATCCCTAGTAACCCAATACTGTGTCCTACTATAGAGTCCCACGTCTGTGCATACATGTCAGAAGCATGCATGAGATCAATGAAACATATGGGCAGAGTTAAAAGTAAAATTGATCACTTTAGAAGACTGCTAAAGCAGCATGTCTCTAACATATTGGCAGAGAAGTGATGGACCTACATTTTCAGGCACAACAATGTGTTGATTTCTTTTGTTTGATTATACTTCTCAGTTTTAGGGGCAGAGGGGGAAGGGTTAGGATGACTTCTGTACTTCTTGTTAATAACATATGACTGCCTTAAAACCCTTGATTAGTGAGGGCTTCCTCTAAATGACTTTGAACTGTGACCTATTATAGTTATCTCTTCCACATTGTGGGGGTTAAGAGTGCAGTGCCCCTACCAGTTGGAAAATCTGTGTAAAATTTTTTGGCCCTCCCTTCATACCAGAGAAGTCTGATTTTTTTTCTTTTCCTTTTATGGGGTGTTTACAGCATGTTATTATTAAATTTGGGCTAATTATTTGGTCATGGGCTCTGTGTCATCTCCAGGCCTCATGTCATCTGTGGCTTCCACAAAACTCCCAAAAATTCCCATTTAATTTCTTATGCCAACCTGCAATATATCAAAACTGCAGTGGGGAAAGCTGCTTATGTGGAAAGCATAACTGTACTCACTTTCCTAAAACCCTCTTCCTTTCCTCATTCACCAAGGCATAATTACACTCTGCAGGGGATTTGCTACCAACTCCTGACCTGCAAATGAAGCTGTATCCTTGCATACATCACAGCTTTTCAGCTACAAATGAAGCAGCTTATGCTAGAGAATGCCAGCCTCTGGTGGCAAGTGGAGAAGCTAAGGAAAAAAACGCACTGCTTATGGCAGCATGTGGGCCAGGAGCCCAAACCTGAGAGCAACCCACTAAATGCTCCCAATAAATTTACAGGGAACACAAATGAACTGGATGGCTTCTTACCTCAGGTGCAATTATCCCTGAAACCATGACAATAGGCTTTCACCTTGGAAATTACTGCTATCCTGGTTAGCGATGTGTGTTCATTGCTGGGTCATGCTGTTCCTGACATCAGTCGTGACCCTCTTAATTAATGTTGAATTTTTATTAGGGAACTACTCCACATGTCTGAAGAGAATACTAGCAGACATTTGCATCACAATTTCATGTTGACAGAGACCTTTAAATGAGGTATAATGGGATTTTGGATCTACTCAGCTAGAAGGATATTCAGAGATACTACATAATCTAATCCCTATGGAACTGGGGCCTAGGGATGTTTAGTGATTTGCCCAAGCTCACACAGGTAGTGAGAATCAGAACATGAATCTAGGTCCTCTGACTCCGGTAGAATCCATTCTTTCCAATTTTCCACCTTCATAAAATCCTCACAACCCTGTGAAGGAGGAATCATGATTATAATCACCATTTTGCAAATGGGTACACAGGAGAATGCCAGTCTCTAGATCTGATGTGCAGAGTTATAACTAGACTTTTTTTTTGTTGTTGTTGTTCAGAGGTTCAATTGTGTCTGACTCTTTGTGATCCTGTGGACCATAGCACACCAATACTGTCCATGGGGTTTTCTTAGTGAAAATACTGGAGTGCTTTGCCATTTCCTTCTCCAGCGGATTAAGGCAAACAGAGGTTAAGTGACTTGCTCAGGGTCACACAGTTAGCAAATGTCTGAAGCCAGATTTGAACTCAGTTCTTACTGACTCGAGGCCCAACACTACTCATCCATCAACTTAGCTGCCCTGGAACATCTTTTACATTGGGGCAAAAACATTTGAGTAGGAGGAGGGGATGAAGAAGGGTCATGATTCAAAGCTATTTAGGGGAAGATCTAATCAAAGGCTGCAAAGTAGTCATGGGTCACTAGCAGAAAGGGCAGAAGAAGGTATAGGAGGAAATGATATGGACACTAGGAGGGCAATGGAGGCAGTGTCTAATTTCCTTGCTATCAAGTTGGTAGGAGGGAGTCTGGTCCTTGACTATCAGAGGACTGGGAGGGAAGAAGAGGAACCCTGGGAAAGGGGACCCTTAGCCATGGGACTGTGAGAGTTGTGCCCCAGGGCAATTGTTCTGTATAGCCAATGGAGAACTGTGAAGTAGTTGCTATCCACGGCTGAAGTCTACGTACCTCCTTAACATCAGCACTCTAAAATAAAGCACCATTTTCTTTGTAACCAGGATGGCTCTGCTGTTGGTTGTGACTTGGGAAAATGAAATATGTAAACTAGCTCCAGGTTGAATCAAATAATTAAATTGCCTATAGATCATGAGTTTGGATAAAAGTGACAACATCCTTTGAGAGGATTATCTAACATCTTATCTAACATATCACCAATATCTGTATAGAGATGCTTTCACTTCCACCCCAAAGAAACCTTGGTTACCTAACCCACAAACTCAAACTACTAGGAGTTCTTTACATTGGATTCATAAGAGTTGGTGCTATTCATTGAGACCTAGCTCCAAATAACCCTTACCAAATGGAAGAGATGATTTTGCGGGTGGTAGAAGGGAAGAAAAGATGGAGTGCTGAGCCTATACTGTGGGCAACCAGGGCTTA